GCCCCGCGCTGAGCCCCGCGCTGAGCCCCGCGCAGTGCTGCGCTTCTTCCTGGAGTACCAGTGGTTCGTGGACCTGGCGGTGTACGCGGGCGGCGTCTACCTCTTCACCGAGGCCTACTACTACGCGCTGCGCCCCGCGCGCGAGGCCAACATCGCCGTGGTCTGGTGCCTGCTCACCGTGGTCTTCTCCATGTATCCTTTTCCCGGGGTCCACAGCCCGAGGGGGGCCCGGGCCTCGAACCGGTGCGCGTCCGCGTGGGCACCCCGGGCCGAGCGGCCTCCTTAGCTCGGCCCCTCAGCAAGGTGTTCCTGACGCTGACCCGGCTGTACTTCAGCGCCAAGGAGGGCGGTGAGCGCTCCGTGTGTCTGGCCTTCGCCTTCCTCTTCCTCCTTCTGGCCATGCTGGTGCAGGTGGTGCGGGAGGAGACCCTGGAGCTGGGCCTGGAGCCAGGTAGGGGTGGTGCCCAGCAGCGATGACGTGCATCTGCCTGTCCAATCATCCATCCATCCACTCATTCATTCATTCATTTAGCAACTAGGTTAGCACTCTGCCACTTGAGCCACAGCTTCCACTTCCGGTTTTTCTGTGTATGTGGTCCAGAGGAATCGAACCCAGGGCCTCATGCATGCCACTGAGCCACCTTCCCGGCTGAGGACTTTCTGTTGTTCCTTTCTTGCTATGTTGGGGAGTCGAACCCAGAGCATGGAGCATGCTAGGCTGGCACTGTTCATGTTCAGGCCCAGTGTGTCCGGTTTGTCTTCTGTCGCCTGTCCCTTCTGTGTCTCGAGGAAATCTTTGCAGAACTTGGCATCATGAAGCTTTAGCTGGTCTCTGTGTTGACTTTCCCTCTTGCGGACTTTGTGCGTTTTCTTTATATATTCCGGATCCTGGCTTTCCCTTGCACGCTTGGCTCGGCACACGCCTCACCCTAGCCGTGCTCTCCCCAACGTGCTGGATTTCCCTCAGGGAGAAAACCAGCTTGTAAAGGGTTCTGCCCGTGGTCTCTCGCCCCGAGGCTCCGGGCCTGTGGTGAGGCCTCCGAAGCTGCATTCCCACCTGGGGAGCGAGAGGAGCCGGGCAAGTGGCCCCGACCCCTGAGGCTCCCCTCTTCTCCCCAGGCCTGGCCAGCCTGACCCAGAACCTGGAGCCACTTCTGAAGAAGCAGGACTGGGACTGGGCGTGAGTCCCGGGTTTGGAGCTGGGTCGGGCGGGTTCTGCCTGCGGGGCGCCCCTGATCTGCTCTTCTCCCCAGGCTCCCTGTGATCAAACTGACTGTCCGCCTAGCGCTGGCCGGCCTGGGCTCCGTGCTGGGAGCCTTCCTCACCTTCCCCGGCCTGCGGCTGGCCCAGACCCACCGGGATGCACTCACCATGTCCGGGGACCGGCCTGTGCTACAGTTACGCGTGGGGGTGTCTGGGGGGAGCCTGGGCCTGCCCCGGCCATGGGGTCCGAGGTGGGCCGGGAGCCCGGGCCTCACCGCCGGCCCCGCTTCCCCCCCCCCGCCCCGTCTCCAGGTTGCTCCTGCACACCAGCTTCCTGTCTCCCCTGTTCATCCTGTGGCTGTGGACCAAGCCCATTGCACGGGACTTCTTGCACCAGGCGCCGGGCCGGGAAGCGTCCACCTCCCTGTGCGTGCGGGCCTGGCCGGGCTGACCTGGGGTCGGGGCAGGGCTGTGGGGCGGC